GCGTTACACTGTTGACTCATATTTAGCTTGTGATCCACTATGACCCCCAGATCCCTTTCCGCAGTACTTCTTCCTAGGCAGTCATTTCCCATTCTGTATGTATGCAACTGATTGTTCCTTCCAAAGTGGAGTACTTTGCATTTGTCTTTATTGAATTTCATCCTGTTTACTTCAGATCATTTTGAATTGTAATCCTATCCTTCAAAGCACTTGCAACCCCTCCCAACTTGGTATTGTCGGCAAACTTGATTAGTGTGACAGAGAGAGACTGCTACTGGGAGGGTTTCACAATGTCTCAGAGGGTTACACCCTGGTGGGAGGAGGCTAGTCCTGTACTGGAATAAGGTCACTCTGTGCTTCACACTGTGGCAGAACCTAGAATGTCCATTAGCAGGGAAAATCCTGGGGGGAATTGGCTTGTGAAAGGGACAAAAGCCCCGTCTGAATTCTCTCACATTGCCCTTCTTGCCCTGTCAGGCTACAGAATAACGTCCACATTTCGCTCCAGATCATCCCGTCCTCCCAGGGGGAAGGAAATGGCTGCAATGGAGCTGGCTCAAGTAAGGGATTATCAGGGAGCTGGTGGTGGATTCTGCTTGGAGGGAGAGGAGCAGTAAATGCATAGGAGGGTGGGAGCTATTGGAGGTGGTGGGAGGCAGGAAATATCTAGGGTGGAGAAAGGGAGGGGACAGCATGTGAGAAACCTGCTGAGACTTGTGTAATCTAGGGTGTGATGGGTTGTCACCCCCAGGGTTCAGTCTGGGGGGCTTCTGGGAACCGCTGTGCTCTCTAACCCTGAAGCTGGGCTGGCCCTTCTCACACTCCTTTGCTGCAGAGGGTCCTGTGGCACCTTTGAGACTAACAGAAGTACTGGGAGCATAAGCTTTCGACTGGGAGCATAAGCTTTCGTGGGTAAGAACCTCACTTCTTCAGATGCAAGACTTGTCTTGCATCTGAAGAAGTGAGGTTCTTACCCACGAAAGCTTATGCTCCCAGTACTTCTGTTAGTCTCAAAGGTACCACAGGACCCTCTGTTGCTTTTTACAGATTCAGACTAACACGGCTACCCCTCTGATACTTGACTCTTTTGCTGGATATTCAGCCAGCCTCTCCAGGCCCTGTTATCACCCAACATGACAGCAGGTGGCGCCATACACCCAACTAATGTACCTGAGTGCTTTACCTAAGCCACTCAAGGACAGATAGAAGACAACAGCCAATTTCCCAGCTCCCCAACCCTGCTGTAGTTGAAATCCAGAATTATACCATCTTATACTGCATAGGGATCTGTCTAATGTAAGCTCATTATTATAGTTCGCCTTCCCCTCGATATGGGAAAGATTTGCACAACAAGCTTGTGCAAACCAAGCTGAGATTTTCCCCAGACACTTCACTCAAAATACACAGGTTAAGATAAAGCATAAGTTTATTAACTACAGAAAGATTTTAAGTGATTATAAGTGATAGCAAACAGAACAAAGCAGATTACTTAGCAAATAACCAAAAACTCAAACTAAGGCTAACATACTAGATTGATAGAATTTGAATTAGCAATTTCTCACCCTGACTGATGATACAAGCAGTCCACCAAGTTTCCATACACAAGCTAGAAATCCCTTTACCCTGGGACCAGCACATCCCCCAGTTCAGTCTTTGTTCCTCAGGTGTTTCCAGGAGTTCTCTTGTTTGGGGAATGAGGCCAAGAGATGATGTCACACCCCACCTTATGTAGCTTTTCCATATGGCAGGAACCCTTTGTTCCAAACTCAATTCCCAGTCCAGTTTGTGGGAAAATACAGGTACCAAAATGGAGTTCAGTGTCATGTGGTCTGGTCAAATGACCTACATGCCTTGCTGAGTCATAGTAGCCGTGATTCATAGGCTGACTGAAACATTCACAGGAGGGCTAAGCTCTTCCACAGTCCATTGTCTTTGTTGATGAGCCATCAGCACTGTCTGGCTTTTTCATTGTTGTACCTGAAAGGCTCGTTGTGGGGGTTACCCAGAGTAAGCACATTTGAAATACAGGGTCAATATCCATAACTTCAGATACCAGCATGATCCATGCACACAAATAGGATAATCCTATTCAACAAATCATAATATTTCCAGTGACACCGCACATGACGCATCTTGCACAAAATGCATCATAATTATGTCCTAATCATATTATAATCATACCACTATGCTGAATGTGGGGTGTAGCATCAGATAGGGCCTAATTTCAAGGCACAGGAGTTGGGACTGGAACTTCCCCTCTTTGTGGAACAGGAAATAACCCTCCAGCCAGGGCTGGGGAAAACTTCCCAGACTCCCAGTGCTGAAGCCTGAATCTACTCACACTTCATTAGTTACCACCACCCCAAATCTTTGTGGCAACTTCAAACTTTATCAGTGATGATTTTATATTCTCTTTTAGGTCATTGATAAGAATGTTAAATAGCACAGGGGCAAGAACCCGCTAGAAATAAATCCACTCGACCATGGTTCCCCATTTACAATCACAGTTTTTAATCTATTTAATGTATGCCGTGTGTATTTTGTATCATTCTAAGTTTTTAGTCAAAATATTGTGCTGAACCAAGTCATTTGCCTTACAGAAGTCTAGGTATAAAAGTTTATTAGATAATATTTGAAAAATAAACGATACAGAAAATTTGAAGTGTCAGTTATTGGTCATTGGGGGTAACATAGAGCGTATAGGGGGATGTTAGTATTTTGGTGTTGGGCAGCACACATAATATATACAGACTGCAGTGTCCCTAATGGGGGGGGGGTGAAGCAGTGGGCGGGATCAAGATATAGCCGACAAGCAGTGAGGGTCCATCACTCATGGAGAAAGTAGAGACAGTCATGGGTATAAGTAAGTGGGCTGGGTAATGGGGATGGGGTGACCCTCACATGGTGGGATTCAGTTAGGTTCGGTGGGTTCAGGGCTCAGGGGATAAAGTCCAGCAGGGGGGGTTTCTAGGTCTCTTCCCCCTTGTGGGTGCACGAGGTCTCCCTGGCTCACTCCCGGTATTGGTGGTGGCCGGTGATGTGCTCTGTGTAGATGTCTCGAGACCAACGAATAGTGTCCGAGACCATTAGGTGTCTCATGAGCCGCGTGTAATGACGGCCCACCCCACAGGTCCTCAGCACGTGTTCGTTACATGGGTCCCAGGCACCCAGGGCCACAACGAGCAGAGCGTCGGTGTGCACCTCGTAGCCCTTTGCCCGCAGGGTGTCAGCCGGGGGGCGTACTTTTCGAGCTTGCGGGCTCGGGCTTCACGGAAGGCAGGGGTCCTGTTCTCGAATGGAATCGTTACGTCGACCAGGATGATCTTTTTTCCAACCTCGTCCGTGACGACGATGTCCGGGCGCAGCGGGCTGTCGGTGCCTGGGATGGCGCGGTTGACGGTGACATCTCCCAGGCGCGGGTCGATGGCCTTCACTAGGCGGTCTAGGTATATTACATCAATACTATTAGCTGCAACCGAACTTTTGATCTCATCCAATAACATCATCTGTTTTTCTCCAAATCTAGGAGAGGAATATTTATTGAATGCTTTTACCTCTTCTGCATTATTTTTGGTAATTCTGCCATTTTCCATCTAGTAATTGGCCCATCTCAGCATCATAGTCTGTGAAGTGTTCGTGCTTTCAAGGGCTGGCTCAGAGATACAGATAACAGTCATAGGTAGGGCCAGTGTTTGCTGGCAACGAAAACAGAGAGTAATTGAGAAACATGGGCAATATATCAGAGGGGTAGCCGTGTTAGTCTGAATCTGTAAAAAGCAACAGAGGGTCCTGTGGCACCTTTGAGACTAACAGAAGTACTGGGAGCATAAGCTTTCTGAAGAAGTGAGGTTCTTACCCA